GAACTTTCTTGTCCTATCAACACTGATGATCAAAAGTCTGCAAAACGCAGTCTACAGATCAGTCATGTTAATAAAAGACCATCGAAAAAACAAAGAACTGATGAGAAAGTCCATAAAGGTCCTTCGACCATTAAACAAATGTTTTTTAAAATGATGTGATACATAAAATCCTGCTTATGCATAATTACTCAAAGTTATCTAAATTATTAAAAAAAAATTATTTTAATCAAGATTTTATTTAAGAACATAATTACCATTTATTTATATTTATTTGAATAGATAATAATGTAATCATTATCAGATTGGCTATTGAATTCATATCATTTTTTCTTTTGCACGTTTAATGCTACAGTTATAAACTTCCTCTTTTTTGTGTTTTTGTCAATCACATCCCTGGAATTTACAATTTAAACCATGGTTTCTTAAATTTTTTTGAAATGTATACCTCATAATATTTACGAAAGTTTTATGAAACCCCAAGTAATAAGCTTTGTGCAAATACAACACAGGCATGAGTGAAACTTTGCTTTCTTTATGAAACCCCAAGAAATAAGCTTTATGCAAGCACAACATAGGCATGAGTGAAACTGTTACTTTCTTTACTTATTCTGTATACTTTGTTCTGTATACTTTTTACTTGTTCTGTATGCAGTTTTAATTTTAAGAAATATAAACTTTTTTTTTGTCTCTATTGTTTTAACTCACATACATTGTGTATAATTGTAATTCTAAGTTATAGAAATATCAAAATTTCTATAATTTTTGGCAGCCCCTGCTGCAGATTCCCCAACATTCGGGACCCACAGTTTAAGAAACTTTGATTTAGATAAATTGTGTGCATCAAATCAAAATTTTGTTCATTATGACCTCCGGAAAATCAAAACTTTTTATGGCCCTCTTACAAAAAAGATTCAGTACCAAGTGCATCTAGCTGTTAATCTTGTTGCAATGCTTATTAAAAACTGGAATTGCAAAATTAAACTTTTTTAATACTATTTTTTTTTTCTTTTTTTAGATAATCCATGTCCACATCTTGGACAGATTGTAACTATTATGTTGAGTGAAAATGAAGAAAAAGTTCAACAACCTGATGGTTCCATACAAACAATGATCGTTGAAACGCACTTCCAAATGAACTATAGTACTGGTGAATGGAAGCGTGTTAAAAAATATCGTAGAAATGATCTGTAATGTCTTCCACAGAGAAATAATTATATTGTATATTATTAGATCAATCATACTGAGATCCACGATTTATTTTGTTACCAGGAATTAGTGGTTCCAGTGTGGGTTGCTCCTTGTATATATTTTGTTTTTAAAAATTGTGAAAGTACAAAATTATGATGAATGATTCTTAAACTTGATTTAGCCAAATTTTTCTTCCGTGATAGTCAAAGTTCATGTTTAAAAATTATACCAAAAATAAAAATATTTTTTCATGTGTATATTTAACATGTTTATTCATTGATCATTCATCATTAGTTGTCAAAATTGTTTTGAAATGCTTTAAATGTGCATTTCTGCTCAAACCATTTAAATCTATTTTTAAGCATTTTTCTTTTTTTCTGCCATTGAAGAACTAGGCCTAGATTTTCAAACTGAAATAATTAGAAACATTTAAAATACTAAAATGCAGAATTTTTTTCCCCTGTAAAAAAAACTTAAATTCACAATGTTGCAATTAAAAGGACTTGGAAATTCCTTTACCTCTGCATTTAGCGTTCTAAAATCATTGAAAAACAAATCTATTTTTACTACAAAGTCAAAAGGTTAAAGCTTTGCGTCATTTAATTCGAATTAAAAAATTTTCCTTTGTGGGCTGTTCAAATATTACGTAGGGGAAAAGTTTGTGGGGTTGTATAGTTATGTATGATTTAAATTAAAAATAAAAGGGTAAGTTTTTAACATTTTATTTTTAAAATTAATTATTACACTATTAAATGAATTATTACACTATCAAATTTAAGTTAAATCAACAACACTTTGATCAAGTTTGACTAATGAACGAAAATATAGATCAATATACTGTTATACTTCACCTTTATAAGTTACACCTCACCGTAGTCTTCGAATTTTTTGATATATTTTGCAAGGAAAAAGAGTTGAACTACGAACTTCTTGTGCCTTCAATGTTAAAAATACTTTATCTTAACAACTTGACTGTAGCCAACTTTTAAAAACTAAATTTTTTTATGAACTTAAGAGACAGGTTAAATAATTTTTTAAAAAAATCTTGCCCTTATCTCTCTTTAATCAGTTGTCTGCTTGTGCATCCAACTTTCCGTTCCTCTTTTAATGTCCCAAGGTTCTAGAAGGGTTAGGTGACTTTAACAAAACAGACATTGTTAGCTGTGGATACTTCAAGTGTGTCGGAAAGCATATAAAGCAATTGTCTACTAAGGAAAAATTTTATTGGTAAAATATACTATTCTCCTAAACAACTAGTTCAAATTTTTGGTATTGAGGATTGATTTTTTTTTTTTTAATTGAGGATTGACCCAAAGGGAATCATCTAGTGTTGTACCCATCATTAATTGAAATAAATTGTACATTTGTTTAATTAGTGAATCTCACTTATTTCTGCACAAGAAATACAGAACAAAGCTGTGTCAACCAGAATAAAAAAGCTCTGCAAAATTTCACGTACATTGAATTTAAAGTTTCAAAGCCACTGCAAATCATGTTACTTTGACTTACTTAAGCTGACAGGAAAAAATTCATCATAATTATTTCTCCCTCAGAAAGCTTGAATGAGTGATTTGAAGACATGGAAAGGCTGTTAAAAATTCCTAAGACATTTGTGCGTAATATTTGAACTACCCTTTTTATGCTGTATAAGTATATCGAAATGTATTCAAACTGTAAAGAATAAAGTAGTAATGTAAACAAAACATATTTTACTTAAGGTTTTGTAATATAAGTTTTTGTCTGTGATCTAAGGTTATAGTTATGTAGAGATTATTTATTTTTATCAAATTAATATATGACTTATTATAATGCATTGATTATATTAACAGTTAAACTTTTTTTTCTTTTTGTATATATTGTAAATGAGAGAATTAAATATCTTATCTAATTGCCATTCAAATATGTCTATCTATAAAATATTATATATTTCTTATCCCACCCTTAAAATGAGTTTAGATATCCCTGAAAATATTTGTTAAACTTAGTATGGTTGTATAAATTTTCTTGTGTACTAATTATTAGCTCTCAACGGATATGTAATATATTGGGTTTTAATTTTTAATAACTTTATCTTTTCATTGCTATCTGATTTGTGTGTATATTTTGCTAACAGGTTGCTTTCAAAATAAGGAACTACATCTTGTTGGTCTACTTATTTATTGCATGCATTAAATTTCTTTTGTATGGTTTTGACTAACAGAGCTGGGGAGTCGAAGACAATTTTGCGAAAGTCTGAAGATTTGTTCAATTCTGTCTTCAGTTAGTTAATATTTTGATTTATTGATTTAAAAAAAGAATTTTAATACATGAAGATTTTCATAATTTTCCCAACAATAAATAAAATATGAATAAGAGGAATTGGACAATTTAAGTTAATTTTTGAAAAATTATATCCTGATACGCATTTATTGCTAATAAAACATTTATTTTTATAATAGTTTGGTGATACTGATAAGGGGAAAAAAGCATGCATTTCTCCGCAAATAATAAATTTTTGGATGCTATTTTATTTTTTAACTATCTTTCGAGTCTCAAAATCTGAAACTAAATTTATTCAATTAAGTATTTTAGATTTATTTAAATTACAAAGCTAATTTAATCATTTGTAAATGAATCATTTATTATAGTTTCTAATTAATAAATTCTCACTAAAAAAAATCTACATGCAGTTGGATGCTTACATCTATACATGCAATATACTGATATCAAGCTCTAGTAACAGTTTTGCAAAGATATTTGTTGTAATGCATTTTTCTAATTGTCATTTTATGAAATAAAATGTAATTTAAATGAAATATGATTAATTCTATTTGTACATTAAAGAGTAGAAATAAATAATTTAAAATTAATGATATTTTAAAGGATTCTGAGAAATTTTTGATTTGAGTATCACCATAGGCAAGCATTTCATGTATAGATGCCACAGCTCTGTTTCAGTCGTCCATATTGTAGGAATTTGTTTTTTGCCTTAAATATTTCTTGAACACACATTTAGTTTTAAAATTAATTGTTCATTGCTTTTTATATTAGTGCAATTTGTTTTATATCTCATTTTTTATTGTATCTTAAAATAATGGGGGGGATTTTTGCCTTATGTTAAGTTTTGATGGTGGAGTTATATATATTTTTAATGTTTACGCCTTATGCCAACTATGCAAATTTTGCTGGTGTTCAGCAACGATATATCTACGCAATAATAATCCATGTTGTGAAACAAGTGTTTCACATGTTTTGTTGCCTTGACAGTTAAAATGTGGTATTTGACTAAGAATGTGCTTTTATTTTAAAGACTGGTACTGATTTTTGACAGTTGTAAGATAGCACTCTTATAAGTTCTTGAAATCATGAGTTATATAACATTAGTGTTTTCCCAAGTTCGCTTGTTTCTTCAAGCCTATTTCTTAGTTTACAAATTGTGGGGATAAATCATCTAATATGGCTATAAAATATTATATATAATGTGTGTTTTACTATAGATCGCCATTCGTGCTTTTGATACCAATCTCAATAATGTAACTATAAATAAAGAGAACCTTAAAGTTGTTGATAATTTGTTAAAAACCTGGAAACATTGTGCAACAAGGTGCTCTTTTATCAGCAGGTGTTGTGGTTTTTTGAAGCAGGAATGATACAAAGTGAATGATATCCACTAAGAACCATGGTAGGTGACAACTGGCTATGCCTACTAATTTGAAAATCTAAGTTAAAATATTGATGGTTAACACTTTGAGCATATTTTTAATAAAATCTCTGTCTAAGCTATCTGCGCTATAAAGGAGTGCTCATATTGTGGTATAGCAATGAGAAGCGCACTAATAATAGAATGAATTAAAAGTATCAATCACTGATGGCTGGTGTGACTTTAACATGAAATGTCTGTCACCGCTTACCGATGTTACACACATTGTGTTGTACATTATTAAATCTATATTATTCTTTTTTAATAATTTAGATACAAAACTTTTGCAAGTAAGAAAGATTTTTATTATTCAGTATAATAGTGTATAATTTATAGAAAGCATATATAATGTAAAATTTCAAATTCTTTAATTTATATATGCAAGAAGCATGGAGATTTTAAAGTATATTATCTGTATAATATAAATATATCATTAATATTTAATAGCTTAACTTGCAGGTTTATTACCTAGAGAAGTACAAGCTATGCTACCAATTAATATTCATTATTTTTTTCTTATTCCTCAAATGCATTGTCTTCAAAATAATTTGGCAATTTAGACCAATGATTTACTGTGCAAAGAAAGAGCATATTGCTTTTCGCCTAGCATTGTTTTTCCCAAGTCATTTTTAAATACTTGGTTATAATAACACATTTTATCATATCATGACATTCTATTTGAATGATTCAAATGAGATAGTTTTGGAATAGATCACAAAATGTAACTGTGATGGTATTTGTTAATGGAAAAATGTGATTGTTTATATAAACAAAACTAGACTGTTTTGTGATGCTGTAATTTTGTAATATATTGCTATGTACATGAACAATGAAACAAAAATTTTGCAATAAGATAATACTTAATCCCTATTTCTAGGATGAATAAATGTTTATGTTTAAAGTGGTATGTCATTTGATATTTCTTTTACTGTTACGAAATTTCAGATTTTTATGCGTATGAATGGCAGAAATGTGGAGAATGTACTCTCACCTGTTAAAATATTCAATCACATAGTCGCTTTGTTAGGTGTCTGAAATATTTTTGTCCAATTTGATATTAATTTATTCATTGATATTTTAATATCCGATTAGGAAAAGCATCAGTTTAGGAAATGTTAGGCAAGCAGAGATTATTGTGCTCTGGAAAAAATCTGAATTTCCGGATTTTTTCCAGATCGCGAACCGGAAGTTTCTGTAAATCCAAGGTCCAGAAGTTTCAAGAAATCATCAATCACATTTATGTATAAAAATTTTTGTATATTTTATTTAAAAATATTAGAACTAGAATTTATGCTTGGCATCTTTCATTCAGGGTATCCGCGCACCTGGAAAGTCATGAATTTCAGTATTGAACAAAATTGGTCATGGATTTTGGTTTTCTAGTGTTGCAAGTGCTGCGCCAATTGTGGAAACCTGGGCCTATATGCTCCAAATTGAAGTAGTAGGCTTAAATTGCCCTGATCTGCGCCAAAAGGGATATTTTCCCCCTGGGTATCGCCAAGTCACAATTTTGCGGCAACCAACTGCCATGTGATGGGTTGCTCTGGATTCAGTGCGAAGGATTCTTGCACTATCATGTGCAGGAATTTTCGGGGACCGACTAAACATTGCCAAAGTTTAATAGCAAAAGAAAATTTTATTTCTATTGTTAATTTCACCGTTATTGAAGTGCCACCGTCTTCGTCCATGGCAAGCTTATGGCCTTCTTGCTCTATTCTATTTATAGAATAGTACTCATGATCTTGGAATTAACTTGGGGGCCATTCTCTAAGTACATATTTTCATGTTGATCCTCAGAGCAGTCAAGAATCACAAAGCTTCATAACCTCAAAATTTCCATCTCCCTTTCATTCATTTAATTTAATAAAGATAAGAATTAATTGAGTTTCTTAAGTGTAAATTTTTATCTGAGGGGCCATCCACTAATTGCATATTGTTTTTAAACATTTATTTTACCTTATTACTTTTTTTTTACTAATATTTTTTTTATACTTATTGCATTTTATTATTGTGTTATTACTTTCGAAAATTTCAGTGCTCTTATTTTGTTTTAGGAAGGGTAAGATTTTAGATTTTAAATAAGTATGAATAGAGGGGCTTTCAGAATTTTTAAAGCAGCAAAAAAATCTTATGTTTTTCAGATTTGTCATTCAAAAATACTTTAATTCATCTCTTAATGATTTGATTTAAAACAATTGATATAAAAAATTTTAATTATCACAGATTTGTTAAATATTATGAGTGTAGGGACAATATAATAATTTACTTCTGACAAAATTTTTTTAGCTTCAATACTCATTGTATTTGCATTTAAAAATTATTTAATTTTTTTTAATCATTTCATTAATGCAGTACTTTATAAGTAACCAATTTTAATAAAAATTTATTAGGGGCCATTCACTAATTTACATTTGTAATATAAATTTATTAAAGTTTTCTTAATTTGCTTAATTCTTTACATATTTTTATAAATTTGGTATGATCAATATTAATCTTGTTAATGTTGTGTTGAATATACTATTACAAATAACATTTATTTAAATTTTAATAAAATTACACTCGATAACCTTAAATAATAGTTAAATTAATTAGAGTTTTGAATTACCTTTTACAGAATTAAATAAAGTAATTATTAATTTAAAAAATAGTATGAGCCACTCAATATTGAATTTATTTAAATTGCTTTTGCCAAAAGCTCTTTTTTAAGTAATATTTCACCTATATTAAATAAATGTTTAGGTTTTTTCCAAACTGAGACACCATTGATTCACTTGCTGTATTATAAAATGGTGTCTCTAGTTTAAGCATTGTTAGGGCGTTTTTTAAAAGAGTTCTGCTTTTCTTAGTTTGACAGGAAAGGACTTAAAATCTTTGGATGTAGAAAACGCAGAAATTTGGCAAAATTCAAATTTAATAGATGTTGGACTAGATACCACAAATGCGATGACATCATTATCTTCAGTAAGAAATTCTATGTATTTAGGTGCTAGGTCTATGGCACATGCAAAAAAGTTATTAAAAGCATTGCCTCTTGAAAATAGGTTACTGTACCATCTTAAATTGTTGCATCCTGTAATGAGAATGGAATTCTATTAAGTTAATAAGATATCTTGCAACAGAAACCCCATTCATTATAAAACCTGAAGAGGCATGTTTATTACGTGGAGAACCAGAAGGTTATTCTTGTGACTCAAATGAATATGCACCAATTGATGTGTTTTGGAAAAACTATTTTGTGAAGAAATATAATTTGGGAAATATCAAATATTCTCTTATAACAAAGCTTTTTAAAGCTCTTTTGTGCATACCACATGGGAATGCCGATGTTGAAAGAGGTTTAAGTACTAGAGAGGTTTTAGTTTTGTTCATATGTGTGAATAAAAAGCTACTTGACAAAGGGCAAGTTTAAATTTGCATAGTGTTAATGATTTGAGACAAGTTGTGTCACTGGGAATTTAAATAACTTTAAAGTTGTCAAAGATATGATTAAAGGAACTCGTGCAGCATTTAAAAATTATTCTGCTTGATTAGAGGTTGTGAAAAAAGAATGTGAACACTGAAACTGAGGAAAGCAGATTAAAAGTTGCTGAAATTGATTTGCTAAAAAAATTGAAGGCTTCTCAAGATCTCTTAGCCACTGATAAAAAAAATATTAAAGATGGGTTAAATAATAAAGACATGTTTATAGAAAGCGGACAGATCCTCTTATCTGAGGCTAAGTCGAGCATAGCAGAATATTTAACAGAATTGGAAGCTACCAAAAAGAAACTTAATTTGTTTATGCAGGGACCTTTAAAAAAGTGAAAAAAATAAGATATGCCATTAATGAACAAAATTAAAAACTCTTGTTTTAATTCTTTTTATTAAATATGCTCCAAATCTTTGTTTCGCTGCTCCAAAATTGCTTTTGTGTCGCTCGAAAGATGCCCCAAAACCATGTTTTGCCACTTGCACCACTGGTCTCCGAAAAATCTTATTTTTTAAATGGAATCCCTCCCCCCCAATTTCCTCCTGTTCCAAACATCTGAATTCCTAACAAAATCACCACTCAGGCATATTTTATTAGAATATAAAATGATTTTATCATGTTCTTTAAAAATTATGGTGTTCTTTCAAAAAATGAAGGAAAAAACATAATTTCTAGATCGAATTATCTTTTAAACTCTTTTGTGATTTAATAATTCTTATTATTTATTTTATTTAATTTTATCAATTTAAAATTCTAGTTGAAGCAAACCAGTCATTGCAAAAAAAGTTTTTATTCCTAAATGAGAACAGAAAAATCAGGAGTATTTCTTTCCTTTCAGATGAACAAGAAAAGTATCTTTGGAATATAATTCTACAGAAAAAAAATTATTTGCTTTTGTTTTTTTTCTAGCTATTTTATTGTTTCAATTCTTTCTTTACTCTTTATTTTAAATTTAAAATCTATAAATATGAAGATGCAGAGTATAGTTTTGGTTATGCCTTTTATTATGTTATTATAATGCTTTTTTAAATGCATTGTTGCGTTTTTGTCGGAGAAAATAGTAACTTCATTAAGTCATGAAAAATTCTTGGAATTAGTCATGGAAAATCATGAAAAGTCATGAATTTGAAAATCTAAAATGTAGCAGATACCCTGTTTATTTGTAAATATTTTTTCTGGTAGAATAATAAATGTCATTAGAGATAAAAGTAAACTTATACATAATTATTTATTTAAATGATGCTGCATATAATTTATTTAGAATTTCTTGTTTTGAAGATATCAATGATTTTAATTTTTAAAGGCATTAATTTTTTGAAATGCATCATTAATGATTTTTTTCAAGAAATTTTCAGTTGGGCTCACAATCACTCCTGGGCAAGTGTATATTGGCAATGATGCTTAACTAAATCTAGCATATACTTCGAATATTTACCATAACGACTATGAGACATTTGCCGGTGAAAGTTGGAATTCACAAATTTTGGTCTTTCACAACGATATATTTACATACTAATTTCCATTCAAAAAGTATATCAATTTTAACTCCAACTTAACATTATCACAAAAAAGACACAGAAAAAAGAAAAGTTTGTTGAAGTTTTAGTGTCTGGGAAATATGGTCCCCATAGTTTGATCAGGAGAGCAATCCAAAGTTTGGATTTCGCCATTACTTCTAGAAATTTTTAAGTGAATTGAAAAATTTTTGCACACAATTATGAAATTCATTATCCAAAAACAATTCCATACAAAAAATAAATTTTAGTAAATATTTTTTATTAAATGATAGTCCAAAAATTTTTTAATTGTAAAGCATACAATTTTTATATAATTTTAAAGTGTGTAATTTTGTATGTCGAAATTGGTCGAATTGTTCCTGAAAAATTGGAATTTTGAAAAAGTCCTATTTTAAATTCAATTTCTCAGGAACAACTCAACCGGTTTCGCACAAATTTTTTGTTCAATTCTGCACAAATTGTGTATACAATTCTAAATTTTTTCGCTTAAAAATTTCTCGAGCAAGAAGTTAACTTAGAATCGCTCTCCTGACCAAACTATGGGGACCATATGTTTCGGGGGTCAGAAATCCGAATCCGTTGGAAAAAGGGTATGTTTATTCAGAAAACGTGCGTTGTGTGTCTGATTTCGTAACTTAAAATATCGTCTGCCCTTAATTATTTGCATATTTAGTGTCATCCCCCAGTCGAGCCATTAAGATTGGGTCCTAGAACATGAAGATCCGATTATTAGATCAGAAGTTATTCCGGGTGGTCCGTTTTTTTTTTTTTTTTTTTTCTGCTAACTATACATTTCCTTTTCTACTGCAATAGGATTGGAATAAGAAAAGTTCTTGGATTGAATTAAATATTTTTCTTCGGATTGAACAAATATTTCTCTCTGAACAAGTAATAATTATTTGCGATTCATAAATTATTTAA